TTATTATATACAATGTTGAAACACGAGCACTATTAAATAGTTTACAAACTTCCTTGCAATTTAAGATTGAGGTTGCTGTACTATTTAGTACAATTAAATAGCACATTAAATTAATTATCATGATAAAGGCTTATTTGATAATCGTAACTCGATAAGTCCTAGTGTCAATTTTTATTTAAAACTGTATATGATGAACAGTCTAAATAATTTTTTTTTCTGAAAACCTCATTTTTTTGTTTAGAAATACAAAACTTAATAATATTCATTGTTTCTATCTAATTGAAATTAATACAATCATCCAAGTGCATAATTAACTTTAGCATATTGGGATTAAATATAATACATGATAAAAGAAATATCGTGAAATTCCAACATGCAAACAATTATGTAGGGTAGGGCGTGATAAAAGGGCAAATTTGACTTTGATCAATTATATTGTAAAAACCAAACCAATTACATTATAAAAAATACGATATATCAAATAGAGTACTATCTGACTATGTTCAGCAAAACTCTAATCAATCGCTGTATAGTTATAGGCCTCCTTTTTTGTATTTTTTTTTCAAAAATTTGCCATCTGGTCCTTTTTACACTATAGACAGTGTAAAATGGAGCAGCCAGTTTGAGAACAAATTTAATGTCTTATTTTTAATTTTAAAGAGATTTACGAAATAATAGCTACAACTATTCAACTAAAGCAAAATGTAAATTTCATGGGCACATTTTTTACAAAGATAACAATATATAATCTTGTTTATAATCTTGATCTTGTTCAGAAATATTCATCAGTAGAGTTGAAATAACTATTATTTTAATTTATTTCTTGTAAAATGGATTTTTTAAACTGAATCTACACTTTCATTTATTATTTTTTATTTATTATATATTTTTTACAGTAGAGTTTGTAGGTTTTCAAAAACCATTTTTTGGCGGAAATTATGAAATTCGAAAACCGGATTTTTATTTTTTAAAAATCGTTTTTTTAATATACGAAAGAAAAATGACAAGACAAACGGTTTCAGATGGATGCAAGCGCTTTAGTTCTCGGAATCATATCAGTTCTATAAGATTTTGAAACATATCAATCCCTTCTGGTTCCAAGAAACATTGTGTATTGTGTATTGTATTAATTGATTTAGATATTTCATTAGTTTGACTAAAATTCGAAACCGGTTTTCTGAGGAAGTTAGAATTCGGAAATCGGATTTCTGAGATGTCGGTTTTTGCATAAACCCTAGTTTACAGCTTTGCCAAGGTAAAGGTTCTGTTGATCCTCCTGTTATAAGGGTATATAAAAACATCTGTTGAATCTAACTTAAAATTATCAAACAATTAATTAAAGTACATCTAAAAATATATTAAGGCCTCGTAAACTAAACAACAGTGCAAAAAATAGGAAAACTAACAACGAAAGAAAATACTTTTGTTATAGATTTTCAAACATGGTCCTTTATCTCTTGATAGCGACGTTGCTTGATTTAAGGCGATGGCTGGCTATACATCTTTTCTTCTCTACTTTCAACTATTGTTATTAAAAATTGTTTGTTTTTGGAATACCGTTGGAGGACCTTTTTACCCGCGGACTTTTAAGCCTTGCTCTACACTGCATATAAATATTAGGACGTGATAGGATCAGAAACTAGGGGTTGGGTGAGAAAGTTCAATTGGAAATAAAGACTTTAGAATATTTTATTGCTTAATTATGAAATTTGTAAGCTCGTAATCGTTGTACCAAAACATGTTTTGCGAATGATTTTTACATTAGTTATGGCTACTCTAGTACATTTTTGTAAGAATTGGTTAAATGATTTAATAATGTATTTTTTAATAATTACCTCAATATTCTGCTATAAATGTGTATAACGAAAACAAAAAATACTCTCGAATTTACAGAGAGTGAATGTTTACAATTGCTGACTTGTACTATTCTTTTACACAACTTCGGCAGTGGTATGCGTTCTCTTTATTTTGATCTCTCCAGTGAACGTCTGCTGTGTGCAACTAGTTTTCACATCTAGAAATTAGATGTAATGCAAAGCTTACTTCAAATATTATTATGATACGTAATTATTAGAAACTTTCAATATTAATACCTACATAACAAGATAAAAAATATGTACTCTTTAGCTTTTTTTACTTAAATCGAAATTTATAATACTGAATTGGTTTGTGAAATTTATAAATTTTATTTTTATATTTTTCTCAAACGAATAGTGCCTCAAATCAATTTATATTTTTATAACGTCATGTTATATTATTAACATTATTTTTAAATAAATTGTAATTTAACACTGAATGTGTTTGCAAAATTTCTAAATTCATGTTTTAGATTTTATTAATTAATTTCATGTTTTTGCCTCAAAGCAATTTATATACTTAAAACCGTTAACATTATATTAGTAACATTATTTTTTTATATAAATTGTAATTTATATAAATAAATCAATGATATAACATTGAATTTGTTTGTAGAATTTATAAATTTACATTGTTGATTTTAATTTTGTTTTAATTTTTCTCTCATTATCTTATATATTATTTGATTATCTTATATTATTGACCATAGATTTTTATATAAATTATAATTCCTAACTGAATTTGATTTTTAAAATTTTTAAATTTATATGATTTTATAGATGCAATTTATTTTCTTATAATGTTATTAAGCTATAAATTTTTATTTTGCTATTAAATAATTGTGGCTAGGAATATTATCTCTTAGAATTATGTATAGAAAATGAGGTGTTGAAGTTTAATAAAAAAAAAGAACACCTAGGGGTAGAACAAGGAATAATGTTATAAACAAAGCCTGATTTTTTATAATATATTAAAAAAAATATATAAATTACAATCTATCAATTATAAAATATAATAGATATAAATAAAAATTAAAAGATATTTACTAATTACATTGATTTTTAAAAGAAAAAACCCAGTGGTTTGCGTTTTATTTGTTTGCTATACATCAAAGATTTGATACAGTCTGAAATGCACAAGGTATCTATTTCCATCAATTTCAATAATTAGTGGTGCGTGGCATAAGGAAAATGCTGGAACACACTGTGCCGAAAAAAATTTTTTTGAATCATTCAAATCGGACGCCCCGTTGCTGGAACTTACCGTGCCGAAAAAACGCCCCGTTTTCTCACAAACTGAATTGCCATTTTTTGTTCCATATCTTCAAAACCCATCATTATTAGGAATCAAATGCTGATCCATGTTCTCGAATTTTTCGACGAAAAATTGTATCCGCCCTTACATCCATTTTTGCTAAGGTATGCCAAAATGTTCAGGAGTATTTGAAACGTAAAGACATAAAAAATAAAATGAACTTAAAAAATGTATTGATGTTATGCTCAAGAGAGTATATTGGTAGAATAAAAATATGTCTAGAACTGGATATTAATAGAGTTAGAACACTAGCTGTCTTAAAAATACCTAAATAGTAACGCTTTTGAAAAAAATCAATAAAATTTTCTATATGTTTCAATCAGAATTTTAACCAAAACAGTAGTAATTCTGCTAAACAACTTTCATCTGATTACAAATAACCGTAAATTATATCAATCGTATTTAAAAGAAACCGTCTCCAGTATTAATTCAAATCCAGTACATCATGCTTCATTATGAATCAGTAATTTCAGAAGAATTTAAAACAATGTATATGTTTTCTTTATCATGACGCATTCTTATTTCAAAGTAATTTTAAAACATCAACGATAATACAGCGAACGAGCGAAGGAAACGCATCGCTTGTAAGTTGACACAGTTTAACAAACGATGGAAGATAATGCCCCGACGTGTTGCTAAATATATTGTGTTTCGTTCTATCTTATTATCTGTAGTATATATTCAACTCTATCTGTGCGCAACGGTGGTTTAGGGACATAATCGATTATTTTGACAGCGATTCTCAAACTGTGGATGTGTGAAAAGACTTAAGTGAAACTAATAAATAATGATATAGATCAATTATTGTTCTTAAGCGTACATAATATACTTGATTAAACGTTGAGAACGGTCTTTATATGAGAATTAATATTTCTTGATACCCTTCCAATAATTAATTTGTATATATTTTCTTTAGCACGGCGATTAAATTATATCTGAATAAACTTTGTTGGATGTAAAATGATATTATCTTCTAGAAATATACACTTTTTCATACTCTTTTCGCTTTCTTTAGTGAAGCTTTTTACTTTTTTCACTTAGGGGGCGTCTATTAATCACGTAATGTTTCTAGGGGGTGGGAGGTTTTGATAAAAAATTACGAAATATCACGTGGGGGAGGGAGGGGTATAGTAAGATATCATGTGTATTTATTTTTTACCTGAATTTTTTTTAAAAAAATCCAAACATTAAAAAAATACAATTTTTTCTCTTATCTAAAAATACACGTAATGTTTGTGGGGAGGAGGGAAATTTTGAATATCACCACGTATCACTAAGAGGGAGGGGGATCCAAAAATCCTTCAAAAAATCGATCACGTGATTGACATCTCCTTATCTAGATACAAAGTATGATCGGACCAACCCATAACGAAAATGAAAATTTTCCTTTTTTTTAAAATTTCAATGTCTTCTGAATGAATAATTACCACGTTAAAAAAAGTTGTATTTGTGTGTGTGTGTGTGTGAATATTTGATTACAATTTTTCATCCACGATTTCGAGGGCGCTGATCAACCGCTAACAATGGTCTATAAATACAAATAATGAAAGTTACAGTATTTATAAAGATCTATTGGAAAATATTCAAAATAATTGTTATTAATCATTGATCAATTTTCATTAATTATTGAGTATTTTTATTCCTCGAATACTGAACTAAGGTCCGGGCATTTCCAGCAATTTGCCTTAAAAGACAATGCCACACTAGTTAAATATCGTTTAATGTAGCAACTTTTAAAGGGCAATATTATAGTTAAAGATATAGATAAAAGTCACAAGTTATTGAACCTAAATGAACCTTAGTTAATTAATTAATTCATCTTTGTTTAGGTTTCGGCCGGTCAGCAGCTTCATCTCTCTGGTGATCTAAAATCGGGCGTGTCTGTAGCAGCGCAGCAGGGCATGTTCTTTAGCCAGGCTTCTTCGGGCAACAATGGCTCTGGCACGGGTTCAAATTCAGGGGGCAATACGAATGTCGGCAGCGGAACTGGCAGTGGTGGAATGCCACAACCTGCTAATGTTACCGGAGAATCGTATACAGTATCGCAATCTCAAACTATCAATTTTACGCAGCAGACCCTTAGACAGAGGCAACAGCAGCAACAACAGCAACAGCATCATGCTGCAGCAGGACATCCGGGAATGTCTCAAGGCACAGGTTGGAAAAATAAATCATTCTTAGTTTCTATTTTATTGAATAATAGTTGAAACCTTTGTTATTGAAAAACTTTACTAAGCATGTAAAGTAAACGTAAAGTATTAATATAAGTAAAAAATACAGATGTTAAATAGTATAATAATAAATGTATAGAATTTGGCAAGTGATTAGGCTTGATAGACATACCCAAACGAAATTCTAACTCATCATTTTTTTCTAACTTTTTTTAGTTTTGATAAAATTGTTTAATAATTCTAATCAATTATATTTTTAAGGTCTGGGACATAATGGTCCTAATCACATGGGTATGGGTCCACAAGGAATGTCGCCGGGCGGTCCTGGCAATCCTATGGGACCACACGGTGCGAACTCAATGCAAATGCATCAGCCTGGAGCTGCAGGTAATTTTTGTATTATAAATTAATCCACTCTTGATGATATTGCATTTTTGCACAATTACCTTGGATACTCAAGTGTTTTGCCAACTTTTCTTCTGTTTGATGAATTTCAAGTTTCAAAATAAAAAAAATATTTTATACAGTACTTTTAAATGCTTAATAAACTCTTGAAAATTTCATAAATTCAACATGTAACATAGAGACATATTTTTACCCTACATATTTATTCTTATTTTTTTTCAATGTTTAGGAATGAATCAAGCAAATATGACGATGGCTCGGGAACAGCATGCCAAACTTCTACAGCAGCAGCATCAGCATCAGCAACAAATGTTGCGAGCGCAACAAGCTGCTGCCATGCAACAGAGCATGCAACAGCAACAAGTTCACATGCAGCAAGCGCAGCAAGTTCAAGTAGGTGCAAGACCACCGCCACCTGATTATAAAGCATCTGGTGCTGCAGGAGTAGGAGTACAGCAACAGCAACTTCTTCATCAACAAATGATGCAACAACGTTTCCAGGGCTCCATGAGGAGAGCGCAACCTATTCCGCCATCTGGTTAGTGCTATTTTTTTAAACCACAAATTTGCCTATAATAATGATATATAAATCTATATATGATAAATAAAATAAATTATATTCATGTAGGTAATTAAAATAGAAAATTTGTATTTGAAAAAATAATACTAATACTAATTCTGTGTAAATTGAATTACTAAAATATCGTAATTGTACCAACTAGGTCCAATGATGCGACCAGGTCACATGTACATGGGCGGTGTGCAACAGCAGCAGCAGACTAGCATCCATTCGTCATCACGTATGCCATTCCATGCTCAACAGCAACAGAGGGCTCCTAATGCGCAGGTCACGGCTGATGGCTTAGCCCTTGGTGCCGGCCATCAGGGTGCTGGGGCTGCAGGAGGCGGCGCAGAATGGCGCCATGTTATGTCTCAACAGCAAAGCGCTGCATTCCACTCCTCGGTCGGAGGTCCGGGGGCCGGCAGGTTTCATCCACAACAGCAGCATATTAACACTGGTGAGTTATAGCATAGCTTTTAATTGTTTTTCCAGAAGCCAGTTTTTATATATTTTTTATTATTTTTACAAAATGCATGGAATGAAAACATCATCTAAATAAGACTATGAAAATTAATTATACTACTGCTGCAATTGCTTAGTTATACTATAAGGTTTGTTTATATTTCTTGTTTGTTGTATCATACGGAAATGTTAATTAGCATATTATTTTAATTTGAATACAGAATGAGCTGAAGCTTGCTTTGCTTTAATTTTTTGCTTTATTTTTCAGGATTTGGTATGTCAGGTGCTCAAGGTGGACCCATGCAAATGACTCCTGCTCAAATGCAACATCACCAACAACAACAGGTTAATAATATATTCTAACACCATAATGAAAATTCAAATTATATTCAATATTTTAATAATTTGTGTTTTTATAAGAAATTGTTTTTCTAAACGCTAAATTAACCCATTTGATTTTCAATTTTACAGCAAATGATGAGGGCTCATCAAATGAATGCAATGAATAGTGACCCACAACATCAGAATCATATACACCAACAACAACAACTGCAGCAAATGCTATCACATCAACAAAATCAACAACCACTCAGCTCTAATATGACACACCAAATGTCGAATATGTCCTCAGTGCACATGTCGCAGACTCAGTCAATGACAATGAATGGTCAAGCTGGAGCAGGATCAAATATGACACCATTTGGTAATAGTCCGATAAACAATAGTGCCCCAGATTTTAGTCTGGAATTCTTGGATGGTTTGCCTACAGGAGATGCAAGTAATTTTTCTGCACAGGAATTGCTAAACAGTTTGGATACCGATCCCTTTAATTTGCAGGATATTTTGTAAAAAGAAATCTCTAAAATCGGTAAGTATTTGATAGATCTGCAATATTTTTGGGTACTAAAAGCTCATCAGATGTAAATATCAAAGACTACAAGTTTATGAGCCGATATAAATAATCATTTGATTTAGTCGAGATATATTCAAAATGGTGCCACCATTCAGAGCTTTTTTTTACTCATTTGATACTTTTAATAAGCAGAATTTTTCTATTTGTTCCAAAGTAAAAAAAAATAATTTTATTGTGATAATTCAGCTTGTAATATGACCTTTAGTAGGTATACGTAAGATTGACTACAAGTAGACATAATCTTCAAATAAAAAATTAACATAATCCGCATTATTCAGGAATAGCATTAAAATAATACAATTCAGGAAAATGAAACATTTCTGTGCATAAAAATTATCTAATAAGAAGGTGATAGTGTGTTTGTCTTAGATCCATATACATTACTGTTATAGTGCAAAAATCACAATATAGATTTACCCATAAAATAAACCCTTAGAAATGAAATTATATAATAGCAAACAACAGATTCGTTGGTGAAAAATACAAAAATCTGCTGTTTGTTTATGAAGATTGTGTCTATGTTTTTTCATGTGTTTGATAATAAATCTTACATAACATCACATTTATCAAGAGTGGAGCAAAACTCTTTCAAAAATTATTTTATCTTCACTTTATATATATATATATATATATATATATATATATATGTATGTATTTATATATAAATATGTTTATATTTCAATGTGTAATGAATTAGGACATTACTAATTAGTTTAAGTCAATTTGACTCTGTGATAGTGAACTGATATTAGTCTCAGATCTTGCAACAAATTTTAGATAGTGGATAATTATTTCATCATACTTAATTTTTACAAATATTAAAACATATTTGTCCAATTTATTAAATTTGAATTCCATCAACTACTGTGATGTAGTTAAGTGGAACAATTATGTTACAACTATTTTATGAACGTAAGTAATGGTAATTGTTTACAGACCTAATTATCCACTGACTGATTTTTATTGATGTTGCCAGTTCTTCCACTAAGCTGTTTTCATATCAACTATCCGTAACTAAATTAGAATTCAACTATTCTAATACTAAAAAATAATGAAGACCAATTAATTTAAACTTTTTCACTTATTTTCTATCCCGATATTACTTGGAAATATGAGTATTGTGCTATTGATTATTATAATGCGCAAATTGGCCATGGTAGCATCTTAAATAATGAATTATTTGTAATTAAAACTGACTTGAAGTAAAATTATAATAAGGGTTGTCAACAAATCAAATAATTTCTCTGGAATCTATTCTGTATATTTATTTTGTTCAGTTAGACTAATCAGATATGTTATATGGCCTATAACTAATAATTATTTTGGCATAAAATTTTTATTTTTTATAGCTTCAATTCAATGTAATTAAATGTGCAAATATTCGGTTTAAAAATTTCTTAACTTGAATTTTGTGGTTTATAACAATCATACATTATATATTATATTTGAAGCCAGTTTTTTAGTGAATATAAATTATCTAAATAGTGTAAATAAACTTTGGACTTGTTATTTAATTGGCATTAATAATCACATAGGTTAGAATGTTTATAGTAATTTATGATATGATCGTAGATAAAGATATTATATTCCTATTATTTTTTTCATATATATATATATTTATTAAAATTTGTATTTTTATATATTTTTTAATTTTAATTTTATATACACATTACAATGTTGAAATATATTTATATAATGGACTTTAAGAACATGTGAATGTCTGATAGAGATATTTTAATGTTTTTAAACTTTCCTATGGTATATCATACTCAAGTTAGAATCATACTCGAAATATTCCATATGCAAATAGTAAAAGCACTTGTGAAAGATTTGTTTGAATAATTATAAAACAGTTTTAATTTACTTCAAACTCCATATTCTAGTACTAAACATGATTTTTAGTTTGTAAATTTTGTATCAATTGAAATTAATTTTACATCAGCAGGTTTAATGAATATAAATTAGTCACATTATTTAAATAATAAAGGAACTGTTATATATATATATGTGTGTATTACTAATAATTATAATAATTCAAATCTTCCACAAGTCCTTAGTTTGGAGTAAAGATCATAGTATTTAATGGAATTAATTTTGATTTTTTTAAATTATGTTATATAAGTATTAAACTAATTCCGCCATTTATTGTGATTGATGTTTAAAATAGAGTTTTAAGAAAGAGTGAGTTTCTGAATTGAAAGTTGTGCTACGTGAGGTTGATTATTACAAAGAATATCTATTCCATTTTAAATATATTAAAATAATTTATGCATTTCAAAGCAAAAGTAGACTTAGTATGTTATATTTGAAATATAACTTAAAAATGTCTCGAACAATCCTTTTAAATAAATAAATAAATTTATAGCATTTAGAAAAGTTAACATAGATTAAATGTACTTAATATAAAAATATATTATACAAAAGATTTGTATAAATTGATGTAATAGTCAATTTTAAAATTAGGGCAATGTTTCTAAAGAACTTATTTTAAAAATTTATATAATGTAAAAATTATTTTCTGCCAAATTCTTTGATTTTTAGTAAATAAGAGAGCTAGATAATATTTTAAATTGTACGTTTCAAGTACATACATTGCAAATATTTTTGTTTCAACAAACTAAATTATATTTTATAATGGTTTGAGTGTTTTTGGTTTTTAATCTCAACACGAGATTTTAAAATGCATTCCATTTTATACCCTGCTAGAAAACTTTATTTTTAACAAAAATTCCCAAATACTTTATCTGGTCGCACATCTCGACATTGATCAATGACTTAACATTGCAATATCATTAAAGAATTTTTTTAGTTAAGTTATCATAATTAATTATATTCTAGCTCTTTATTTTATAGTATATATACCTAATTATAAATAATTTCTGAATTTCAAATCCGAGATATTATATTCGAGAGTTAATAACAATAACTTGAATTAACAATCAGTTAAAAAATATTCACATTGTTCAAATAAATTTTTATTCATTTGTTTCATGCTGGAATTAATATTAATATCATGATACAATTTTATATAATGAAAAAAATTAAAATATTATATAATTAGACGATATGAGACAAAAAGCTGTTAAATTTTAAATAACTTATATAATTTGTTCTCAAATTGATTAATAAAATATTAATTTATGAACAATATCATAACAAGGAACGGTTTCTAAATTGCATACCTAAAATTTTTGTATGCATAGAAAATTTTACTTAAAGATATAGCAGAAAAAATATATAATGTAAAAATAGGTTTAAGAAACTATTATGCATCTTTAAGTCTTCATTGAATAATTCCAATCAAATTGATTGAGGTGATTTCTTCCATCCCGATATATTTATATTATTTATAATTGGTTATAGATAAACTTGCCATTTCATTTTTGTGACACCAAATTTTATTCTAGATTATAAGATAAAGATTAGAAGAATTTTTCACAAAAATGTTTTTTTTGATCATGCTGACATTAAACATGCTTGTGTATTATTTTATTAGTCAACTCTGAATGCATATACTTGATGAAAAATGATATCATGATTAGTGGTAATAAGATACATGTACATGCACAGAGAATTATCAAATATTATTTATTTAGGAACATTCGATGATTAACCTTGGACCAAACTTAGAAAATTCCCCATTATTAATATCTATTCTTCAGTGAATTTTTTTACTCGTATATATATGTATATATATATATATATATATATATATACACGATTGCGAAAATCAGCAATTTTATTTCTTACTTTAGTATTTTATTACTTTGTAAATATGTAAAAGATATATGAGTACATACATACATTTCTATATATATATATATATATATATATATATATATATATATATATATATATATGATGTATGAGTATACAATTTCATATATAATCACACATAGAGACGATAAGGTTATAGACCAATATTTATATAATGTAGGATAAATGGTTTTACTGCCAAATTATTATTATTATTATTATATACATAGATAATAAATATATCATATTAAAATATTATTTCAAGTTTTATTTCTATAATTCAACACTATCTTATAATTTATTGACATAATTTTATTCATATAAATTTGACTAGTAGTCAATATATGGTTTGGTATAGTGATTCTAATAATGCAGGTATGATGAAATAATAATACTATTTAAAAAGATTAAATGATTATAGCATTTTGCAAATACATGCATTATTGAACATATCTTGTAAGTTACATTTGAAGGTTTATTGCTAAAGGTTAACCTTTGATATCAATTGATATCTGTACTTGGATGGGATTATCTTAATCAAATGTAATTATAAATTAAAAATGTCCTCTATGCACGCATTTATATTGAGGGTGTTTACCTTGGTTTAGAGCAATAAGGAAGAATACTCTGCTATGCAATATTTATTTCAAATATTATGAGAGATATTGTATATTTTATTTTTATGTAAGAGATATACGAATACATAACAGGCGTTGCTAATTAAATATATACATGAAACAAATAAAGAGATAAAATGAATGAAAATATCTCTTACGAAAATGAAATTATCTCTTACTGATTAGTTCTGAATAGGAAAAAAATTCGAATACAAGAAAAAAAGTATTACAAAATCACAGAGACATTTTCGGCGTTAATGTAACAAGTATTATTTCCAGTCATAATAATTAAATATCTGTTTTTGCATATATTTTTTATCCAGTATTAAAGTTGTTAATAGTTATAAGGTATTAGTTAATTAGTTATTAACGTAAAGGTTTTAAAGACATTAAGTTTTTCTAGTCACGAGCTTCTTATATAAGAATGAAAAATTTGTATACATATTAAAATGTATAATCCATTTTCTTTGCAGTAACTTTAACCTTCTCGAACGCGGACTCTCTATTCGCTATTCCTAATGCATCGTCTTGAAAAATTCGGATTATTGTTTTTTAACATGTTCAGATTTACTTAATATG